ATCATTGCCTTCAGCTAAAACTGTTTTAATTTTAATTTTTATTTCATATTTGGGTTGTCTTAAAATATCTGAGATATTTGCTTTATGAAGATAAAACAGTTTCTGTTCGCATTTAAATTTACCAATCAAGTGTGTAATTGCAAATAAAAAATATTATTTACAATTTTTTTATCAGTTAATAAAGTTATTTCCAGTGTTAAGTTTATACTTTGTTTATTTGCTTAAACACAAGTAAGTATCTGTGTGCATTCTTTGTGTGCGAGTGTAGGTTTCTTTATCAGTACGTGTTGATGTACGAGTATTTCAAATGTAAAATCAGCGCTTCGCATATGAATTTGCCTCAATTTTATTTTTAAATCAGAGTAAATAAAATTTAAATTAGTTTATTTCAATGCACATAATTACATTTTATCCACATTTGCATTATACTTTAAATTGTCAAGTTTTATTTACAAATTGCGTATCTTTTGGCCTTTGGACTGGTGCGCTTCTATTATCACATTTTTCAGTGAATCTGGTAAGAAATTTCCCGACTTGTGGTATCAATTTTCGAAACGCCCACTGGAGTATTTTGCCCTTGTTTATGTATTTAATAAATAATTTAATTGAAATATAATAAGTGAAATGTCATATTATTTAGTATTAAGTTCAACACATTTCACTACTCGTGGTTAAGATTTTTTTTTACAATGCAATGTAATGCAATATTTGTGTAGAAATTAAAACTGAATTCCTTTCCGCCCTTAAATCAATGAGAATAAAATGTAAATATCAATTAATATTAAACTGATTTCAAATAATTTTTTTAACATATCTAAAACTTCTAATAAAGGCTGTCTGATAGACGGATTGTAAAAATGAACGACCAATCTACAACATGTACACCTTTAGAAGTGATAATAATTATCGGCAATTTCTTAGAAAACTGACAGTGTCAAGTGACAATAAATTAGCACATTCCAACATACAGAAGAATTGAAGCGAGAATACTTTTGGGATCTTCAATCTTCTGTCAACAATATTGTACAATGTTGTCACTGCAAATTTATCCAAATCGCAGAAGAAAATTATATTCTATATTTAGCTGACATAGTGAATAATGTCATATATGGGTCATTCTTTTACCAATTGAACGGATTTTGGCTTAAATTTTTTAATACGAGCTCCTTTCATAAAATAAGAAGACCCGTATCTCGGGAAAAAATTTTGTGATTTTTTTTCTAGGAGATGTAGACCCATGGGATTTTGACAATTAGCATTGTAGATACTGATACCGTTAAATGTCAAAAAAAAAATTTTTTTTTTCCAAATGTATCCCGAGAATGTTCACTTTTTATATTTTAAGGATATAAGGATATATATTAAGGATATATATCTTTGGCAGTTGCAAAACGCATGCTGTTTTAGCGTTGTTGTGGGATGATGAGAATTGGTCACCAAAATCATGTAATTTGCTACTACAGTCAAACTTCTATAACTCGAATTTTCTATAATTCGAAGCAAAAACAGTGCACTAAGGTTTCAGAGAGGAAATTACATACAATTCTGCTTCCATAACTCGAACTTCTATAACTCGAATTTCTCTATAAATCGCATAAAAATTTTGTCACGTGCTGATAGGAATATAAATCGAATTTTTGTTTTAAGTATGAGTCCATTTGGGCGTTACGGGAAGCCATTTTTCTAAATCAAATGTTTAATTTTTTCTTTCTTATGTTGTTTCTTTATGCAAATACCAGTCACTGATATTTGTGCTAATGCATAAAATTGGCATTTTTCCGCCGAATATGACCTGGAAATTGCAACAACTTGATTAGGGAGTAATTTAAAATTTAAAGTGTAACTATTCTCTAAGTCGAAGTTTCCATAAGTCGAACTTTTTCTTTGCAAAATGGTACTTCGAGTTATGGAAGTTTGACTGTACTAGAATTTTGTTATGGGATTACGAACGAATAGTGTTTACGCAAACAAACCTCAAACCGTAGATGCTTCCAAAACAAACCCCTCTCAAGTTATGACGGAGCTATCTTTAACAATGTGCCAACAAATCGTCGATAATTACTTCAAAAACATCCAGTACTGTAGAATGTTCCAAAGAGAACATTTGGATAAAAATACTGGAATAAAAATCTAATCGAAACCTTCATCATCACGTCACGTTAATAAGTTAACGTTTACTTTCGGAGCTTCAGAAATCCTATATAAGAAAGGACAACGCTAATCAACAGAATCAGTCTCAGAAACAAACTACGAAGCTATAGATATATCAAAACACCCGCTGTGCTGTGCGGATGGGTGACAGATACTAATGTATACCAGATGTGTACCATACATTAGAGTTTCAAAGTGTTTAAGCAGTTTGATTATAATCGAATATGAAAAATGTGTAGCGAGGAATCTATGACAACACTATCTAAGCTGAGCTAAACCAATATAATATCGAGTGTTACTATTCAGCCCCGATGGCTTAGTTATTGTCGTGTGGTCATATATTAATTCTCTTAATTCATATATTAATCCAATATAAAATTCAACTACCCAAGATAATTGATGAACCGAAAGCAGCCATTTGGAAAAGCACTCCACAAATAAATTAACGCGCAACAAAGGAAATCAAATCTATTTTAACTTCAATTTCTGTTTAATTTTTATAATTAATTCTGTAATTTGTATTAATTTTTCGCACATAAAAGTTTGGAGCAAAAAAAAACATTTCATTCTTAAAGTATATAATATATGCACGAACACGGCCACATGTGCAACAAGTCCATTTTTTTATAGTATATTTTAATTTACTATTAACATATATGCAAATTTATATATCAGTTCTTATTTAAAGAATGAATGTTTTTTATAGAGTGGAGAAAAAAACTGAGTTGCATCAACGAATTAAAATTTGAATATAAATAAAATACACGTAAATTTCGTTTGCTACTCAGAAAATTAATGACAAAAGCGCTATTGTGGGTGGCGAAACACCCGCCACAAAATGGCACAAATCGTCAAATAATCGGGACGAGTGTTAAATTTCTCAGAACATTTGAGAACTCTTTTGATCCGTATTAAATTTGAATTCATCAAGGGATTAATTGCTTAATTGGCATTTTATTTATCTATTTTTTTTCTGTGGTGGACATAATATACTTGAAATAAAATAAACCTGAAAACTGAGTTTCCAATTAAATAAAATAATAAGGAGAATTACTGGATTTCATCAAGTTTTTTTCATTTGACATGTATAAATCACAATTCAATGAATGAAATAAAATTCAAATATTAATTTGTGGTTTTAATGGAAAATAATTGAATGAATATAAAACTAATTCGCTCTTATGTATATTATTAAATTATATATATGGCAGTGCAGCACAGTGCTGAGCTCTATATTTATCTATATTAACATATTTATATAAACATTAAATATTTTACAATTTAACTATCAAATTACTTTAAAGTCATTTATTTTGGTTCAATTTATGGACATTTGCCTTTTGATTGCTTTGTATCACTGAACTAATTGTCACAACGCAAATCAATATTTCTCTTCTCTCGGCTTGCGGTCACAAATATAACGTAAACAATCACAAGTTCAGTCCAGCTTAGAAAAATGTGAATAATCTGTGTATACCTCTTTCTATATGCTGAACACTTTCTGTACCGAACAATTAAATACAAGATGAGAGCGACAAATGATATATAATAATCTGTGTCTAAGTTGATTTCTCTTAAATAGAAGAATCCTAAATAGATTGAGATACCCCGTAAAGATATGAGTTTGTGACGGATTAATGTAGCTAAGGAAACCATGTAACAAGATTGAATATTCTTTACAATGAGTGCTAGTGTTACTGTTACAAAGATTAAAGCATGATATAGACAATGCTACATATCTGCACACCAAGTATGAAGTTCAAGTATGCGCTTTGCTATACACTTTGAAACAAGGTATGTATCAGGGTTCGTATTTACTCACTCATGAGCAGCTCAGGCTCATGAGCAAGAGCCAATTCTCATGTGAGCCCAAAACACCCAAAACCCTCTAACACCAATTATGAATTCATACTAAAAACAAAAATTCGACTTATAGAATGCACTTTCCGCCCTTCCTATTGGCATGTGACAATATTTTTATTCGACTTATAGAGAAATTCGAGTTATAGAACTTTGACTGTATTTGCAATATAATAATTATGAAAATTTGATAACATTTTTTCAGTGGTTGCTGAATTTATAAAAATTACTTCTACAAATAATTTAATCTGTTCTTTACTTTAGTATAAAATGTATTTTTTATTTTATAATGCAAAAAATATTTATTTATAAAAACTTTTAATTATTTAAAGGCCATATATTTTAATTATTTTTAAAATAATTTAAAGCTTTTTACTGGCAACAAAGCTTTAGAAAGGCGAAATAACAAAAAATAAAAAGAAAAAAATAAAAGAAAACAACGTCCGCAAAAGACGGGTTTTGCAATATGCAAGACTGAGAACCATAACGAAAATCAATGATTTCGTAAATTCATTGCGTATTTCCAATGTATTTAAATACTCAAGTCACGTGCAGTTAAATATTTTATTAATTGATTTAAAAACAGAAGAATTCGGACAACAACAAAGTGCTTGTGCTGATCAGCTGTTAAGAGGTCGAAATTTACAGCTATAATCTAAAGTTTTTTCCAAAAACACAGTGAAAAACCCTTTGTAGAGTGAAAAACATTTGATCAATGCTTCAATAAGTTTTATTTAATTTGAAAATATTTTTTCTTTAGAATATATTTTAACTGCAATTATGCAGTCTTAGCGGAGTTACATCATCCAATAGTTTATAAAAGTAAAAAATTAGTATTAAATTAAAGAAAAAACAAATAGTATTTAAGAAAAGTTTTTTTTACACTATTTAGCCGTAATTGTATGTATGTATTTTATAATTTAAAAACAGAGATATTTATTTTTGTAGCTGATAAAAAGTTTTGATAATAAAAACAACTTGTAACTCACCGCGCTATAAATTACGGTTCACTTAATGTATTTCGTTTTAATGGTAAAATGCAAGGAGGTTGGGATTGATATTAATGCAACATTTATAATCTGTGTTACACACATATATATTTAGCACTACAAACTTGATAATTGTATTAAATTCACACTTCATGAAAACATTACGCTTTACTATCCATTTATTATAAACTTGTTCGTAATGGTATTTATCATTATATCACTTGTTATGGAAATAAATGAACCGAACTTACTTAACCAGCACTTCTGCACAAGAGGTTGATTATACACTGATTAAACAATTTCCATTTATATGTCATTGTCGCAGAATCTGTCAAATTCACTAACTTTATTGTGAATTTTGCGTTGTTATTGTGAATTTCTTTGTAACCCAACTGAAAATAAATCCATGCTTATGTTAGAGAATGATCCATTCAACATTAGGTCTGTTTCACGAGCTACTCGTAGTAAAACACAAGTAAAGTACAAACTAAGAAAGTAACACAAATAAAATGCCAAATTATGCTCTTCGCACAAACAAAATAGAAATAAAAATTAAAAATAAGACCGCGAAATAAATGTTGAAGAGTTTTATAATAATAACTGCAAATATTTTTAAATACTTTCTATTTTAATAAAGCGAATTAATATTCTGTTTTCAGTTAGAGTTGGAATGAGTTAGAACTATAAAATTTTATTTTATGTTATTATTACAGACATAATGGAGGAAAGAACATCAACAACTTTTTTGCAATTGCAAAACAATAAAAAATTGTTTTTACATATTATAAATCACAATTATTTAACGCATTTTTTAATAGATGATAAATTTGTTAATGAGATATTGATGCTGTTTGTTGTTGAAAAGGAGAATTTTTTAACTAATGACTTTTGAATATCTTGTCGTCATATTTCGAAACAACATTTTGTATGTAATTTTTTGCACACTCATTTTTTTTTCTTTTATATAAAATGAATTTACCAATTCTAAATCATAATCAGAGTCACCATCTCGAAGTGTATTAATTACTTTATATTATATTAATGTATTTATATTATATATGTATTATTATATTTTTATCCATTTCACTATTTATTTGTAACTGTTGGTACAATTAAAATTTCAGAATTTTTTTAGTTTCACCAGTGCCGCGGAAATAAACAATTCGAAAATCTAAATTCAAACCAAAACATCTGATTTACACATCACACAAATTTTACTTGAAATAAAATGTACGAGTAAAGTCTGTGTAGCTTTTTCAAATTTCGGCAGAGATGTTACACTCTCTAAAATGGTCTCATTTACTCGAAAATTTGTTGGTAGAACGCACTTGTGCATATATAGTATTACTTAAAGTTACTACGAGTAACTTGTGGAACAGACCCATTATATTCGTCTCAGTTTTAAAGCACAATTTCGTAAACTGACTATTGCAACTGGAATATATTGAGATGGTAATATGAAAGAGGAATAATACGGCGTTTACATTGGCCGAAAATGGCTCATTTTGGTCAAAAATCGAAAATGAGTATCGAATGGCTCATTCTTGCATATAAAATTTCAAGCACAAAAATGAGCTATTTTCTCACATTCTGTATGAATGACGTTCGAATGCATTCCACATACGTTCCAAATGCAAAGGAATCCATTGAACATACCCTAAATGAAAGCTCTTCATGGCATTTTGACAGTTTGAAAAAGCTTTTTTTAACATATTTACAAAAAAAGGTAAACAAATGTTTGGTGGTTGCATTTTCTTGAAAACGATGCACTGCTTTTTAGAACTTTTACTTCCCAAAAAGTAATTAATCGAAGTTAAAAATATGTTTTAAGTTTCTAATGTAAGGTTTGGAGGCATATTTAACCTTCATGCAACATTTTTTTGGCACAGGCCAAAAATCAAATCAACATGCAAGTTGAAAAATCAGCTGTTGAAATGAGAACAAATGAAATAGAACGAATGTAAACACTTTCAAATGGCTCATTCAAAATGAGCCATTTTCGGCCAATGTAAACGCCGTATAAGTCTATTTATTAATGAGAATGTTTTCGAGTACAAATTGTCTTGTTGGAATGTGGTTACATTCCGCGTTAAATCATTTTTTCGTATTATTTTATTAATTTATTTAACTTTTTATCGATTTTTATATTTAGCTTTTAATTGATTAAAATTTGTTTACAAAATATATTTCTTAAATAAATATATTTCTTAAATAATTTTTGAATTAATTACTTAAGTCGATTAGATCATTTTTGCACCATTTTTACCTGGCAGTACTTTTTATTCTATAAATGACATTTATCGTCACATCTTATTACTTGTCAAATAACGAAATTATTGTGGTTTTATTAAAATAAAAACGTAATTTATTTTAAAAGCGAATAAAAGTCGGTTTTGAGATCTAGATTATTAATATATTATTTATTGATAATTGTTAAATATACTTTATACAGTTTTTAAAGATTCTATACCGAACACCAAAAAACACGTGGTGTACATTTGGACATTAAATTATTTTTAGTGAAGAGTTATTAAAGTAAAGCTTTAAAAATGGGTATGGTACAAAAGCGTAAAAAGATGCACTCTGGCGACACACATCTTCGTCGGCGCTGGCGTGTTCGAAATCGAACTCGCGATCTGGATCAAATAGATTCTGACATAAATACACAGAGCGCAGAACTTATTAATCAACCTGTTGACTTGGAGCAACCTGGATTTGCACAGTTTTATTGTATACATTGCGCAAAATATTTCACCGATGATCACGCAATGCAATCACATTTCCGTACGAAAGTACATAAGAGACGTTTAAAAGCTTTAGAAACTGAACCGTATAGTGTTGAGGAATCTGAACGGGCTGCTGGTCATGGCAGCTATAAACAGCCGAAAAAACGTGTTATGGAAACACAACCATCTAAAGATGAAGTAGTTGCTGGCAAACGCATGAAAATTGAAGAAAAAGTAGAAAAAGAAAAAATAAAAACAAAGAAAATGGAAACGGGTTAAAAACGTACTTTAAACATATTTTAAACTTTATAGGTAGTAATATTTCTTATTTTTAAATAAATTCTAAATATTTAAATTTTTGTATTTATTTTTTTTAATTGTATAATGTTCAGATTATTTTGATTCTATATATGTTAAAAGAAGGAACAAAATAATATGTATGTATTCTATAGTAAAGCTAATCTTTCTGATCTTTATTTCTTTCAAGAAATGTTTGTTGATTTAAGCTTTAAATTTTGTGATTGAAGTACAATTTTTAAAATTTGCAGTTAAAATTTATTAACGCATTTAAATGCTTAACGGTTACCTAATATGATTCCTATATTTTCCACCAAGTTTTCATGCATACAGTCAGTGTAGAAAAATGATGGTCAGTTATGTAAATTGTAACTCTGTATAGCTTTACCCTCTGTCAATCATTTATTGAATTTGTTTAACAAAAGTGATGTAACTCGTAGGGATCTGATTGTGTAGTCCCTTTTTTGGATATGGTGAGCAACACTTAATCGTCCAACTCGACGAATGACCGGACGTAGATCCGACCGTTCTTGGAAAGTGAAAGTGATAGCTCACGCAACATACCAGTAATTTATGTATACTTTCTATATCCATAGTTATCCTAACTTAGATATGCGTATAGACAATATATACGTATTAAGAAAAATTGTAAAAAATTATATTTTATGGCCTTTTACAAATCCATTTACAAATCATCATTGATATAGTTCATATAGAATGAAAACTTTAATATTATCTTCGCATCAATCTACTTAGTTTATATAGATAATGGTAACTGTAATATTAAACTATTTGAATTTATTTTATTGTATCGCAACATAAAAGAAGATGTGAAATATGTAGTTTCTAAATTATGTACTTTATTTTTTACTCAACAAATTAATTAAAAACTTAAAAAATGCATTAAATAATATATATACATATAATACAAATATATAACAAGCACTGGTTCAATAAAAAAAAACTAAACAAGAATCAACTTTTATCATTGCATGACAATATTTGCTTTTGTAAATCAATTATATAACAAAAATATATATAAAACTAATTAAGTAATTGATTTTTGAACAAATTATATAAATATATTTAAATATTAATTTGTGTGCTTAAGGAAAATGTGTACATTTCTACTTATAAATTATTAATTACAAATGTAAAAACATATTTTTTATTATATTTTACACTTTAGAATTTATTTATAAATATCTTAGAAAATTTTTTACCTTTATATACTTAACAATTTTGCAACGTTTCAATATTTTAAAAAATTATCAAACGCTTTTCTAATTACAAACAATTTGATTTATATCAACACAATTATAGTCGAACAACATTCACAAAACTCTGTTCAACAACTTTTTTTTGTTTCTGCGTTCAATATTTAACAATGTTAAAATCTGTATATAATACATATTTGCAAATATCATTTTAACAATTAATATTTAGTGATCCTTCCTGGGGTGAGTATCATCTTCAATAGGTTTTGGTGAGGTAGAAGAGTTCTTAAGGCTTTCGAAAAATGGATGATTCAATGCTTCCTCAGCAGTAATACGTTTGTGTGGATTGACTTCAAGTAGACGTAGAAGTAGATCATAAGCGCTGGCAGGGAACATATCATCATCTTTATCAAGAGGTTCTGTATTGTAATTGCTATCCAAGCACAGACAGTTAAAATAGAACTGATCACAGTTTTTGCATATCTCACATGATCCATCCACACGCCGATATTTCTCCAATAAAGTTGTTGAACTGAATTTAGCTCGATTTCGAAATCGTACACATAGTTTACGTAGGTCTAATGGTTTTGACCGTTGACTTAGTGTAACTAATCTATCTAGTGCAAATGCAGTTCTACGTATACACTTATCACCAAATATTGTAACCATTTCAGCAAGAGCTACGTAATCATTGGGCGCTTTAAAAAACGGATAAACCGAGGACATTACTGAAAGCAAGATCACACCAGCAGCCCAAATATCAACGGCAGTAGTTTGATCAAGATATTTCAGCAACACTTCTGGTGGTCGGTAGCCTGGTGTACCGGCGCGGGATGCATGCATCTCTTTCTTTACAAGGCAAATATTACACACTTTCGGATGACCATAGCAAGAACATTTCGCCACATTACTTGATATGAGATTCCGATTCGTGATATATTTGCTGGCAGCGGTGTTGGCCTCATTACCTGCAATAGGAGCAACCATTGTAGTACCGGGATTTGAAGATAAATGTGTACTTTGCGTATTTAAAATTGCGTTTTGACGCATATTTGCAATAACACTTTTACCTGGAATACCTGGAGGTGTTTCATAAATCAAATTTAAATTGGAATTATTAACAACTGGCTTTGCATTGGTTGATATTTCGTTAAGTTGTTTTAATGGCATCTTAAATTGACCAGTGTTGTCGATAGTTGCAACCTTAGGAGAATTTCCAGAAGTAACAGAAGATGTAGGATGATCACCCTGTGGTCCCATTCGTATACGTTTAGGCGGAGCTTCAGTTTCACATTTACCATTAGATCCATCTATTTCTCGCTGTCTTTTGCTCTCACCTGTGGTTCCTGGTATCGCTAATAACTGATATTCACTATTACCAAGTGTTAAAGAATCTATACTTAATTGCTGAGGTGGGGGCACATGTTGCGCCAGCCCAAAATCTACGAGAAGAAATTGTCCCTTCCGTCTATTGTATAAAAAGTTGCTTGGTTTAACGTCACGATGGATTATGCTAAATTTATGCACGTGTTGCAAAGCAATCAATAGGTTCTTCATATACATCTTAATTTCTTCTAAATTCATTTTGGTGTAGAAATCATGAAACCGATCATGTTGTATGTACGGCATAATAAAGGCAACAGATTCGTTGAAGCGAATGCAACAATTAATACCAATCACATTGTTAGTGCCACTAAAAAAAAAAATATTTTATTATTTATATAGTTTTAAACAAAATATAAGTGAGCTTAAGTTATTCAATATGAATTTGTCTATTTGTGTGTCCAAACCTCCAGTTATCTGCTAACTGGAGCTTTGTCACTGTCATAGCTCCATAACCATGAATAACATGGTGTCATGCCCACGGTGTATTACCTAATCATAACACCCGGTCACGGTGAAGTCTAGTCACCGGAGAAACGCCTAAACAAAAAGGTATATACTTAACCTTACAGACTATAATCTATCTGGGGGCATACTTTATCCCCATCCGCAAACTGATAAGTATATAGATAAAAATAAAAACAAAAATTACACAATTATAACTATATATAAATTAAGCTATATATAATTTAATAAGCTAAAAAATATAAATATAAAAAAATAAAGATAGCTGTACGTGTAAAATAAATTACTATTGATGTAACTAAAAATATAAGTAAGCGGAAATATAAAAATAAAAAATACAGATAACTATAAATTTAACTAAATTAAATGACCATTAATATAATTAAAAATACAGCCAAGACTTCGTACGTTTGTGTTTTTTAGCAGGAGGCTACAATATAAATAGATATTTAAAAGTCATTTCTTCAGTCCTCTATAATCAATCTGAATTTGGTTTCTAAGTTGATACACTTGTACAGCAGATTGGTAGAATCAAATACGAATGAATTAAATCATTTCAATAAATAAAAATATGTACATGTTTATATAAAAAATGTAACGTGTAAATATTTCAGAAAATATCTCGTGTATAGTAGAAAAATTAACAACGTTCAGAAAATCCCCCAACATCATTTAATAAAATGATAAAACCTTATATTGAAAATATCACATTGTTTATAAATGGCACTTATATTAATTACTAAAAAACCTCTTTACTTTAGACACGCATGCAGGGAATGCTCATTTTATATGTATATGATAAACTATTGGGTCTTATATATACAATCCCTAGCACTTACATTTGGTAAAGAACTGCACCAAATCGGCAAAACTGGATTAGTATATAAGATATATTAATAAAAATTCTTGCCGCTAGAGTCATTTAAGGTACTAATACGAAAAAACTTAAAAATAGACTGCAATGACAACTTCAAGATGCGTTCAAATAATACTTTATATGTACAAAAATCGATAACGCAATAGACCATTTATTTATCTATGCTACTAAACTTTTATATACACATGAAATAAACTATTGGAGATTCTCAAATGAATATCGTGTAAATCAATATATGTATTTCTTCTATTTTTTAAATTCAATATTTACAAATATGCTTGTGGTTATTAAACACCATTAGAATCCTAAAAATGCAAATATGCTATACAGGTATATATATTTTTTTATTGATTACTTTAATATTTATTAGGAAATTTACTCTTGATATCTTTATATCAACATCTAAAGCTGATAAAAATTACATATCAACCACTGCCACCTACAAGTTAAGTACTAATGACAAAAACTGTTGACGTTTTGGTTTTTGTACTTATTGCACACACTATTGTATAAACAATTTATTTACTATAAACATACATGGAATGAATGAAGAAACATACAAAAGTTATAAAGTTTTTACCTTCAACCAAGTTATATGTAAAAATATTACTCTTATATACAGTGAGCCGGCAGAAGAACGTACGTATTGCTTACTATTGTATCAAGGTGAGGGTGAAGGTTGATATGAGTATAAACAACGTGCTGCGGGAACTGGTGGTGTGTTTTTATTTATATATATATATTTTTTTTTTTTTTTGCGTACTGATGACGTCAATGTCTGATAAATTGTAATAAGAAGTTGTGCAAATGATTGGTGGTGGTAGGCACTGTTAAAATTGTAGGCGTTTAATATAAATGTACTGCTGTGCAAATATTGTGCTATCTACGTCATCACAGCCACCAAATGGATTTGCGTTCAAATATATATGCATATATTTGGCTTTTATTTGTGTCTTTGACATATTTTATTTAAGTGAAACGAATTCTACTGAATATTGATGATAAATAATTTGAAAAAAAATTCTTGGTATATTTATTTTTATTAGCATATTTTTTAGTTTCTAAAAAATATTTGATACATGAGGACATTAGTTCAATTTAAAAAATCTCCTAAAGAATGATATTTGACCATAAATCCCTATACAGTAATGAATTCTTGATAATGCTTTCTTTATCAATAACTAATGATAATACTTTTATAATACATACCCCATAGTGGCCATACATTGCAATTCCTTTTTTATACGGTCCGGATGACTAGTCGGTATGTGATGCTTTATTGCATATTTTTTACGCAAATGATCCGGTAAGTGCTTCTCTCTTTTCATCGTAGCAAGTAAAACCGTGCTAAAAGTGCCATTTCCAATGCGCGAATGGACATCAAATATATTACTGATTTCAGGGATTCGCGTCAGCAAATCACTGACAGCCTCTGTTGAAATAGCAATATAATATATTTTAATTTTAAGTTGGTTAACATTTACAAGAAAATTAAAATAAATATTACACTGCATAAGTATTTTAAAATTGACGCATTTAAAAGTAGTACCTTCATTTTTACTTCGCTGCATAGATGCCGCTACTTCAGGGGTCAAACCTTTGACCTGTTCAACCGCTTTTTCGGTGTTTTTATTATTACTATGATTTGGTTTTGCGGAAGAGTTTCTCTTTCCTTTATTTGGTAATGTTGGTGCCAGTTGTTGTGTTGTGTATTTACAAATTGTATGATTGGTACGATGGGTGTTGTGCAAAGGGCTAGTTACCTTCGACTTGGTCGCATGGAATATCATTTCATTTAACTTTTTTGCTGTAGATTTCGCTTTACAAGTAGGTTCCGCAGCGTCCGCTATTTTATGTGATTTTTTTTCTATTGCGTTTACTTTCGCCATTATTGCTCTCTAAGGTATTTTCAATCTTTGGTTTATATTAAAATAGAACAGATAGAACACGTGTTCAGTGTGCAGCCAGCTGCCAAAAATAGAATTCCCAAATGTTGTCTTATATTTTTAATCTTGGTATTGCGAATTACGTACAATTTTTCGAATAGCATGCGGCTTCAATGCGTTGTTCGCAAGTTTGCTTTTCTAACTTCAGGTTAAGCATTCGATAAATTTTGATCAAAACGTTGATTTTGAATTCTGTTCTTAAGGCTAAACACTGGGAATTTTGCTGGGAAACGGATATTGTTATATGAAAATTTTTTAAATATTTACAAACTAAATTTAAATAAATGAAATAAAAAGTAAAACTAAATTGAAATGATTGGTTTGATTACAGAACTGTCAAAGTTGGAGATGCCAGAATTTTTCAAAAAAATTGTTGTGCCAAAACTTGTACGTTCATTTATGAATGGCACTATTGCTTGTGTACTGGTAGCACTAGAAATTTGAAAATTTTTTAAATGTTTTCGGTTTTTGGACAAATATTTTTTTTTAATTTTGTATACAGTAACAAATAAGCTATGGACAGCTACGATTAAATTTTGTAATATATTATAAGTGATAATTATTTCGCTCTTATGACTGACAGATATAAATATATAGTGTATATATAAATGTAGAATCTTAAATTGTGTCTCCATTAATAATATGGATACAATTCTAACAAAACTTTAGTAGTTTTAAATCATGTTTGCATGCTATTGGTTTAAAACTGTGGGTTTTGATATTCAAATTGGATTTATTATAGATGCTTTCAGCAGCTTGCTAAAATAGCAAGTTGTTCGCGTAATTATGCTAATTTATACGTAAAACAACAACACGACTGCAGAAAAAAAATGTTACCAAAGCAATAAGCGATCTATTGTGAACTTTCATTGAAAATTTTAACGAATATTACAGTCATATGTTAAAAAATTGTAAACAAAAAATCAAGCAAAATTAAAAAATCACAAATTTAAAAATTTTGAAAATGAAATATTTCAAAAATATGCAAAATTGTTTTAATGTTTAATACACATACATATAAATATATTAAAAAATTTTTAGGAGTACGTGAAGAAAGTATAATTGAAAAGCGGTTTAAAATTTTTAACTTTACTTTTTAAAGCATAAATAATGTAAACTATTAAGAATTTAATTGTGAAAGGAAATTTTAATATTTCTTGTATTCTGAACATTGCTTCATTTTAATGTTCAATTTTATTAATTAAGATGTTGAGGCTAGTTGAGTCAGTGCACCTGAGCACTTTTACTTTCTATTAACTGCGAGGTTTCTTCAAAACCCCTCTTAGCGCCTTGACTAGATTATTGTTTATCAGTTCATTAGACTAAGCAATAATTGACCTCAGATCTGCATATCTCCCCGAGGAGCCTGTAATTTGTTTATATTATGTGCACATATGCAAGATTTGGTTTTTGCGAAAAGATAACATTTGACAGATGATGCAGTGATGCCAATATCTCGCTTAGTGTCTATAGTAAGCAACTTGCTATTTTTTACCATACTGAGAAGCTGCTGAAAGCATTTTATATATATTTATAATAGCTGTTATACCAATTTCAAACGATGTATATCATATATTACATTTTTATAGCTAGATTTTAAATAAGAGGTTTCATTTTCCAAAAATTATTTTATTTTATTTATTGTAATCAAATAAAGTAACATTTCGAGAAAAAATAAAAGTCGAAAAACCTGCAGTGCTTTTCTCTATCAAGTATTATGTTTATATTTAATACATATCACGAATAAATTAGTAGTTTTTTAGTAAAGGTTGTTATTATTGTGTACATTTTAGCAAAATATTTAGTATATATTTATCAAATTTAATAAATAATAGTGCATTCACATTGTATCATTTAGGCACTTGCTCCTATATATTAATGCGTGAACGTTCACTTTATAATGAGCTGATTTATACAGCTGATAGAACTTTTATAAACTTCACTTAATAATATATTACACAAAAAAATCAAATGTATAATTGATATAATTGATAATTGAAATCATTTATATACATTTTATATATCTATTACATATTAAATTATTAAAAAAGATTTTAATAAATACTTACTTCCTCAATTCCTTTTTATATAGCTCACCTGTTGTTTGTTTACATTTTACATATAAAAAGTCCACATTCGATTGAATGGATATAAAATCACAATGGATTTTATATGGAAAATGTAAACTGCTAAGCAAAGAATACCTTATATTCTTTGTTGCAAAGTATTTGTAAAGTGTAAGTATATTATACCTGGTAAATTGAAATTTGTGATAAAAACGGTAGACTTATTTTGGCTAACTGCAAAGCACCCGAAGTTTTTGCCATAAAATGTTCGGATTTATTAACTCAAACGCCTCTAAGTCTAGCCAATTGACTACCTTTGGAATCTACTGACCTCTCGTGAATGTTTTATTGGCATATACTATTTAAAACTACTAAAAAAAGTTTTTTCGATTTCGTGAAATCGATTCAATTTTTTTACTTCATGTTTTTTTATATTTAAAACGTTCAAGTTAATAAAAAAAATTTCGTTAATAATTATTAACAAATAATAATATAAATATAAGTAAAATTTGTTATTTTTTTATTTCTATTATTATATCTTTTTATATTACTTTCTTTATTTTATCTTCATATACCGTATTACTGAATGCACCTATTATATTATGATTCTAATATGGCATAGATATCACAGCTGACTTCATTGCACAGTTGTTATTTTTATTGTGAAAAAAGAAATAAGAGTTTAAGAATGTGAGAGCAAAGGAAGAAATAAATGTTATGAAGAAACTGATAGAAATTGTAAATTTCATGTTGTTGTTGTTGTTGTTGTGATTTAAGTTAGTGCTATTGCGCACTTTATTCCTTTGTGGCTGGGGGCTTATCCCTGCCCCACACTAAACTTTAACTATACTAGAATCATTATTATTTATTGATCTTCTAACTGATGATGTTGTACAAAAGTACAAAAAGCAATAAGAATCAAAATGCAAACCTTTAAAAAAAATTTATTTATTTACTTCCGATCTAATCTAATTGCTAACCGCCTACCCTATTTTCAAACCATCTGTATAAATCTATAACTATTCATTTAGTATAATGTTGCTCATTGCCCAGTCTAAGTAAAGAGCTTGCGAAAAAATGGGTTACCAAAATATGCATCCGTGTAGAAGAATAGCCTTCAGTAACACTAATTGAATTTAAAGGGTTACGCAGCATTTTAGACCCCAATTGCGACTTACGGCTTTTCGGACCCTTTTAGATATATTTGATGCCCAGCTTAGTTTAGAATTTAAGCACGACTTTTCACTTGTTGAAATATGTTAATTTGAACGTTATCTATTTGGAGAGAATAAAAGACGATATTTTGTACCTATCTGCGAAAAATAAAAGCAGTAAGCTACTACGTTGCAGCCTAAAGCTTCCAGTTTCAGGAGGTCATTGAAGCCTTTATAACAATGCACACAGAACACAGTCTTGCGGAGTACTTCGAATAATAATTTTACAACTAAGGATAAGATATTATTGTTTTGCCGACGTTGAAGTTACATAGAACATTTAATACTCATTGTGGGCAGATATTATTAAAATAATTATTTACGTATAGAAAGGCTGCCAAATTATACTCTCTAATAGCAATTGTTATCTTATGAATTCAGTGTAGACATAGGTTAAGCTAGAATGACAACTATTTCAGCATTAAGAGAGTACCTCCAATTTTTTATGCGATTGTAATGAAAAACATAAAGCACAAAGCATTGAAAAAACAGAAATATTCTAGTCTAATAATTAGTGAACTATGTTGAAGTGATATTGCGAAATGTTCAATATAAAGTATAAATGTATAATAAATATTACAAAAGCCTTACTTATGATGATATTAATACATACTGTTGAGTGTATAGTCTTCATTTCTACTTTGAACGTTCAATTAAAATGGCAAGTCGATGTAGCAAGCCAAATATTCGCTCAGTCATCTCCTTTCATGCCCTTTCTGGTTAAATATAATATTTTATTTTAAAAAACGAAATATTTTTGACATCTTTTGCACATATATACAAATATACTAAAAGAAAGAATATGAAACAAGTAAAATTTATTACAATTAATAAAACATAAATATCAATTATTTTGAATATTATAATTTGTTATAATTTGTTATTTTATATATTTTTCCAGCAGTTTAACAAAAGATAGTGTCTTCTACATACATAATGCTATTGTTTTATTACTTAAACTAAACGGAGCCTCCCAACATATTTTATTGTAGTCTGGCAACATTAAAATTTTGCAAAAATTCATTTCGTGCGTTCCATTTTTATTGCGTCTGCACCTAGTATTTTTGAACCAATAAAATTCGTTTGTTTACAGGGCATCTCAGAAAATATTTTTTGAAAAATATTTTAAGTGCTGTTTTAGAGAAAATATAAGCAATATGTTATTTATAAACTGTAGATTATTCGTAGTATATATTTAGCATCTTGTATATGGAATATACTTTGTGACATTGTAATCATAATATATTATTATATAATTAAAAATATAATTTTATTCAGTTATAAATCATAATTTTGCTTGCTTTAGATATACTGCAGTTATATTAATGATTAATATAAATTATGTTAATAATATATTAATTTCTACAACCCACATAAACTTATTTCCTCTTGTTTTAGTTCTAGAATGGTAAAATTTATACACAGAAAAGTAATTAAAATTTATATAAAATGAATATAATTATTACAATAAAGCCGCATAAAGAGCAATAACTTACTCTAGAATATTATTTTGCAAAAAATGATTCTTTACGGCGTTAATTTACTTTGCTAATTTATAAAATTTTTCGCTACTATACAAACTGGAGTAAGGAAAAATAGGTCTCGTGAAACAGACCTATTAAAATGTCATCATAAGCATACATATAGCAATTATTTATTTTTAAGTATAAAACCTAATTATACATGGGTAGGTTAAAATTATACACAGTGACATGTGATGTAGTAACAAAATCTTCAAGTATTTTAGATTTACCTTTAATGACATTTGTAAAAGCTTGCTTAAGCTGACTTTAATTTAAGGAAATTTTTAAAAATAAATTTAAGCAGGTCATTTTGATTAATTGCAATAAACGAAACATTTAGTTTTTTTTCTGAATTAATATTTCAAACTATATTTCTTTAAGTTTGACATCACCAATGAAAAATTGTATGGCAAATTTTAACACTAATTATGTTATTAAATAGTTTCGTGGTATACTTTAAGTGCAAAAAACTGCATAATTGCGATTATATGGTTATCGTAGTATTGCAATAAATGTGTAACAACAATTGCATGACAGTTATTACCATTTGTTTTGCATATAATCGTAAATAGGTTATAAGTTTTGCAATTTTAACATATACTAAAAGTATTTAGTAGATGTTTTAAATCTTTTTTATTATTTATTTTAACT